AGCTTCACATCTTTGATTTCTGAATCAGTGTCATCACCCTTCTCCTTTTGGAGGCGATAGCCAGTTTCTCCAAACCAGCAAAAGCACAAAGGGAGTCACAAAAAGGAAACATTTTCAATATTGCAACTGTTAACCTGTAATTTTAGCACATCTCTGTGAAAAGCTCTAAGTTGTATCTAGTAAGACAGCTGACATTTGTTACACAATTACTAAGAGCTGTCACAGTCCTGAACAAGTTGTGGCTTGCAGGAAAGCTGTGGTAATTTGAAGGATTGTGCTAATTAAGAAATATAATGCTAGTGGGAATTTAGCTCCATCCCAGATGGCCAAGGAGGAGAGGCAGCCCTGGAGTGGCTTGGTCCCTTTCTCAAGACAGCAGAGACACAAAATGCACTGAGGAGAGTCTATATCCTTCTGCATCATCTAAAAATCAATTCCTTTTCTTATTTTTAGTTGAATGTGGTGACTTGACAAATCTGGAAATAAAAACCCTTCCTTCTTTTTTTTTTTTTTTTTAAGTTTAAATTTGTCCCTTTAGGCTTGTTTTGTAAATGTTGTGGAATCCCCATCCCTGGAATTATTCCAGGCCAGGCTGGAGGGGGCTTGGAGCAACCTGGTCTAGTGGAAGGTGGCCAGGGGGGTGGAACGAGATGGGTTTTAAGGTCCCTTCTAACCTAAATCACTGTGTAATTCTGTGCTTTGATGTGGAGAGGACAAAAGATGTGGGTCTAAGGAACTGATGTCTAGAGCAGCCTCCTGGAGCTGGAGCAGCGTCAGCGGGACCCCCTGTGCCCTGGTGGCACCTCGGAGAGGGAAAGCCTTGGATGAAATACTCTCAATGTCCAGCTGCATCTGAGACCTTCACTTTTAATTCTTAATCTGCTTGGGGTTGTTGGTGCTTGCTTTTTGGCTGAGGGAAAATAGTTCTTCCCAGGTGCTGGCTGTGTCGGAGGGTGTCTGTAGGCAGGCGGGCTGGCAAGGACGGTGAGACCCATTTTATTTACAATACAAACATCACAAAGTCTCGAGTGCTCATGCCCAGGCAACTGTCAGTTTTCACATCAGCGATTCATTTGCTTCTGTCAGAGGTCAGTGTTAGAGGGAACTACCTTGAACTGGTTGCAAAACTTGTGTGTTACAAAACTATAATTAATGTTTCAGAAACTCCAGGGAAGGTTTATTACTGGCAGGGTGAGAATGAATCCCCAGACACAAACATTCCTCTAACATAACAGCATAGCCTTCAGCATTATCTACACACACAAAAAAGCCATGCAACTTAAATCAGGGTAATTAATTACACAGATGTCTTCTATATACATTTAAAACCATTTACACCTATTGCTTTGGCTGTCTGGTCTCCCTCGCTCCCAGGGCATGCCTTCTGCATTGCCCTAAACTGATTTTTCTGCCTCTTTTTCCTTATTGAAACAAATATGGATGAGCTGATGTAACTCTTCATGGAAGATCCCTCTGTACTGATCCACCATGAACATGTAAAAACCTGCCTCTACTCCAAATTCATGCTCAAGACAGCTTGTACTGGTCATGGTACTCTCTTGCAACCACGGAGCCCTGACCTCAAATTCCTGAGTCAAATTGAAGGGAACAAAGCTGTGTATCTTAGCAAATTTGGGAACAGGAATAAGAACACTAATGTGGCAAAATCCTATTGGAGAAGAACTGCTTCATGCCCCGCTATGCTTCTAAATCCCACTTGTTGGAATTTGTTGGATTCCCAGGTGGAGACGTGATGAGATAGGCAGATTTCTTGCAGGGAGGTTGCAGTCAAACCCTGCTGAAGCGCCAAGGATGCACGTTGCCCATATCACTAGCGCAATACCAAACCTGTTCTACTGCTCGACTGGAAAACTGGGAAAATAATTTCCAGACAGCCAGTTTTCTTCACCCATGAGAACTGCAGGCTCTGGTGCAGTATGGACACGCTCCAAGGTCTGGGCAAGCAAGGACCCTTTGCGCAATCCTCTGCGCCCCTGGGCTCTGTGTTGCTTTGCCTGAGTAGTGGTGACGCTTGTGAGGTGCTACATGACTGCTGAACATGAGCAGGGTTCACATTGCTAAACAGGAGCAGGATTCACAGCGCCCCTCTTCTTCTCCAGCTACCTCCAAATGGACTCACTCCCATGCTCCAGGCTATGGCAAGAGGACTTTTTCTTCTCCAGCTGCCTCCAAATGGACTCACTCCCATGCTCCAGGCTACGGCAAGAGGACTTTATCAAGATCCTCTCCTGTTTCATGTGGCTGCAGCCTCGGGCCTGCAGTGGCCAGGGCAACTGTGGTTTCCCCATGCATTTCCCAGGGTGGCAAGGCTGCCTTGAGCTGTTCTTGCCTTTGTGCCTCCAGTTGCCCCATGTGGTGGCAGTGGGACAACTCTGTGAACTGGAGATGACTGATCCAGGCTTGTAAACCTCTTCAGGGAAGAAATTAAACTTTGAATCATCCCTCATCATAGAATCATATAATTGTTTAGGCTGGAAAAGCCCTCTACAACCTTTGAGTCCAACCATTAACACAGCACTGGAGTGTTCACCACTAACCCACATTCCCAAGCGCCACATGTACACATCTTTTAAATCCCTTCAGGGATGGTGACTCCACAACTGCCCTGGGCAGCCTGTTCCAATGCCTGACCATCCTTTCCATGAAGATATTTTCCCTAATATCCCACCTAAACCTCCTCTGACACAACTTGAGGCCACTTCCTCTCATCCTGTCCCTTGTTCCCTGGGAGCAGAGCCCGACCCCCGCCTGGCTCCACCCTCCTGTCAGGAAGTTGCAGAGTGGGAAGGTCCCCTTGAGCCTCCTTTTCTCCAGGCTGAGCCCCCCGAGGTCCCTCCCCTGCTCCTCATCAGACTTGTGCTCCAGCCCCTTCCCCAGCTGAAGTGCCTTCCCTTCCCTTCTCTGAACATGCTCCAGCCCCTCAATGTCTTTCTTGTCGTGAGGGGCCCAAAAGTGACCCCAGGATTTGAGTTCAGTTTAGACATAGTCCCACAAATGTTTGTGTGGGTAAAAGTGAAGACTGTTGGCTCCCAGGTGGGATCCAGCCAGAGGAAGAACTGCTGGGGCAGGGAGATCAGTGGCATCGAGCCACATACGCCATGTTGCTCCTGGAAACTCCCCTGAACTTTGCTAGAAAGTTTAACCAAAGCTTGAGAAAACTGCAAGAAGAGTTAATTCCGTGAGAGTTCTCTGTCTTAAATTGCAGGTAGCACCCTCCAAGCAATATCAGTGCAGTTGTATCTTGAAAAGCCTCCCCAAGAAAGCTTGAGAGAGTGCTTTGCACGCTCACAAAAACAGAGATATAGGACTGCAGGTGGTGGCCAAGGTGTGTGGTGCAGGCATAGCTAAGAGGTGAGAGATATTTATCCTAACAGGAGGAACAGGCAGCCAACATGACCATGTCTGAAGTAAGGTAGGAAACACAATCATGTCTGAAGTGAGGTAAGGTAGGAAAGAAGAGATGAGTAGGTGAAATTGCTCTGCATGCAAATTATCTCCCAGAGCACTAGAGGCATTTAGGAGAATGTATGGATATATTTCCAGGTGTCAAACAAGGATTAAGGGCAATGTAGCCCTAAAACAAGATGTAGGACTGAAATCATGTACAGAAGCTAATTCCAGTACTAGAGTAAGGATAAAATAGGTCAGAAGTGAGGGCTTATGGTGCACAGCCCCCTGACTGACCATGTCATTTCTGCCCCAGCCCATTCATACCTGAGCACTCCTGTTCTGCTCCTGGCTGTTGAAATTACCTCAGGCACTTTCCCAGGTGCTCACAGGAGCCCTGATGATCCTTCCTGGAGCACAGTGGAAAGGTCTGGAAAGGTCTCCAGTGGACTGTGAGGCATCTGAGCAATTTAATCTGCAGTGGGGTGGGTCCAGCCCCAGGCAGGGTGGCACATGTTGAGGCTTTATCCCACAGCCTGCACTGAGGAGCAGGACTGGATTTTAAACTCTGCCCAGTCTGGGGCAGAGGCTTTTCTTTATAACTAGGGACAAGAGGATAGCTAGCAACTAAAGGATTTGTCTTTTTGCTCTCCAAACATTGTGAATTCCTAGGAATCCCACGGGTGAGGCAAAAAAATCCTGTGTTTGATCTCCACCCTGTCATACTATGGCATCTGCATCAGGAGCTGGTATCCCCCGTGTGTCTCCCCTGAGCAAATGTGTGCCAGTGACTTTCTTTCTCTTCTTCTCCAGAACTTTTGTTTTTTATCCCTAGAGGGAGAAGGACCTTGGGAATTCACACATGATATCTCACCTTGCTTTGTCCTTAAGTTCAAACCTGGCTTTAACCGAGACAACTGATGATGTGTCTGTGTGTTCCAGAGGCTTTTCCTGCACTATAAGACTGAGAAAGCTGAACTGGCCTCCACTCTGCCTTTGGTATTAAGGTGCCTTCAGACTCATATGTCCCTGGAAAAAAGAGCAGCCTCTGACCAGAGTTGGGCTGTAACTGAGGAATTGCAGCCTGACAGGAACTGCAGGGCCTGTCAATGCCTGGCTCCCAAGTCACATCTCCTTGGGAACAGGCAAATTTGGGCTACGAGTCAACAAAGTATGGGAGAGTTGTGGCATCAAAAGGTCATGTTTTTATGGTTTAACAGTAGAGACTATCTCATCTGATGACTTTTTGGTAGAGATGACTGGGAGAAAGAACAAAATAATACTGTGTATCATAGAGTCATGGAATCACAGCGGGGTTTGGGTTGGAAGGGACCTTAAAGACCATCTTGTTCCAATCCCCTGCCATGGGCAGGGACACCTTCCACTAGACCAGGTTGATCCAAACCCCATTAGGGCACAGGGTCTCATAAGAGGTGCAGGATGCTGAATACCTTTTGTGCAAACCAAGCTTTGAGAGAAAGAGGAAGAAAGATAGGAAACTATAAGGGGATGTGACAATTGGGCTCTTCAAGAAAAAAAAAAAAGAAAACAATTTTAAGAATTGTTAAGGAGAAAATTCTTTTTATGCCTTAAAACCACGAGGGACTGTGTTGAGAAAGCACTGTAATAGAACAGTCAAAAGTCATCTGAAAATGAAGTTTTCCATCGTGGGCCTCCATTGACCCCATTAACTGTGAACATTAGAGCATTTTTGTGTCCTTTTTTATCCTGTTAGATATCCACAGGCCCTCAGTTACACTGGGCTGTCACTCAGGACACTAAACGATGGGCTGTGGTGGCTCCGATGTGTCAGTGAAAGATGTTTAACTACAGGACAAACAAATGTCTCTGGCCTTCAAGAAACAATTTTCCAAAGGTTGAACTCATCTTGACTCACGGCAGCGCAGCAGAGAAATGGGCTCAACACTCAGTGCTGCAGCACTGGGAAGCAGCAGCATTTCCTGGGAGGGAAAATAGTGGAGAGGAGCCAAGAATGAATAAGCAGCCTTATTGCATTGTGGATTATAAAACCTCTTCCTGTGAAAGGGCTGAGTAGGGCTCATTAAAGCATTGATGAAGACAAAGAGTAAAAATACAATGAGGTAGACAGACTAAAATTATAACCTACAGCTTTGGGGTAGGAAGGAAACAGGTAATAAGGGAGTTGGCCTGTCTGGGTTGTAGCATGTCTCACCTTCTCCTGGAGCATCTCCCTATGCCATAGAATATTCAGGGAAGAAATCTTTCCTAGTATCCACCACTCCAGCTCTCCTCCAAAATCCTAATATTACAAGCACATTTACATTCCCTGGGATGTTTCCCCCCAAAAGCAGCCCAAAGACTCCCTAAATGAGCACCTGAAAAGATGCAGAGGCCTCAGATACCTGGAGCTAAAAGCAGTCATTAAAAAGGCATAAACAAAGGGCATCGTGATTGTTTTGCCACGTCTCCAGACTTGAGAGGAGGCTGAAATAACCTTTACATTATCCCATTAGCATTTTCTAGTGAAAACAACGGCATTTTAGGAGGCAGAACAATGTCTTTTCTTATCATCCAGAAAGGTCAAAGGTATTTATCTGATTTAATATTTTATAATTGATATTAAGTGACACAGAAGAATAAGGGAGGCAGCCAGGTGATGGCTGCGGTGACACAGCAGAAGCTGCCCTCTGCTCTTCCAGTAATGTCTGGGGCTGGGCAGGAGCCAGGTCTGGGAGCAACACCTCTTGCCCATCAACTCCACAGAAAAGAGGACTTTCTGTCATGCCTTGCTGTGGTGAGGACCCCAGATGCCAAGGCCTTCACGCTCACAGTCCTGCCACTTGACCCTATTTCAGTGTCACATCTGCAGGAGCTGATGTTCCAACCAGTGCAGTCCAGGGGATGAAACACCTCAGAGAATCACTGAATCATTAAGGTTGGAAAAGCCCTTTAAAATCTGAGTCCAACCATTAACTGACCACTGCAAAGGCCAGCACATCCCCAAGTGCCTGATCTACACATTTTTTGAACACTTTCAGGGATGGTGACTCCACCACTACCCTGGGCACCCTGTTCCATGAAGATATTTTCCCTAATACCCAATCTAAACCTCCTCTGACACAACTTGAGGCCATTTCCTCTCATCCTGTCCCTTGTTCCCTGGGAGCAGAGCCTGACCCCCACTTGGCTCCACCCTCCTGTCAGGGAATTGCAGAGAGTGAGAAGGTCCCTCCTGAGCCTCCTTTTCTCCAGACTGAGCCCCTCCAGCTCCTTCAGCTGCTCCTCATCAGACTTGTGCTCCAGACCCTTCCCCAGCTCCCTTCCCTTCTTTGGACACATTCCCAAACCTCAATGTCTTTCCTGAAGTGACGATCTCCTTGTCGTGAGCATATCTCCATCCTGCCTGTCCTCTGTCCTTCCCCTGGTTGGGCAGGGTGGTGGCACAGCCCTGGCCAAACTGCTGCATCCTCCATAGTGGGAAGGGGTGAGACAAAACCTCTGTGGAAGGGAGAGGGAGAGTGGGAGAAGGAGGAGGATATAAAGGCTGGGATCTCAACACTAGGCCACAATACCCAGTTGGAACGAATGCAGTCAGTGCACACACATGGTCAGGCAATGATGCTTTCCATGATGGTCACTTTGAATCTGGAAGAGCAGCAGGTCAGGACCAGCACCCCTCTCTAGGCCCCCAAACTGCCCCATCTCATGTACCCTATAGGCAGGTAGGGACAAGGGTCCAGTGTTACAGTGGGTGCCCCATTACTGCCGAGGGTCTGCGACCATGCAGCCCGTGGGTAAGTATCTCCTATTTTCCATCTTTGGTAGGGAATGGAAATGAGGATGTTATTCTTTGCTGAAACATTTTGGAAAGTCACAGCTGAAATCTCTCACTTGTCTCTTCCATCTGTTTATTTTTACCACTTAATAACACGTCTGTCTCTTCAACTATTCCTGACACCGTTGCAAGAAAATCCAACTCTGTGAAGACAGTTTTATCAAAGAGACATTGGCTCTTCATTACTGTGTGACACCACGTCAGCTCTTCTCCTGTGCATGAAGTCTGCTCTGTAATTTCAAAGGGTGTCTTCTATCTCTTTGAGGAGGTGATATGACCAATATATTTGAAATTGTTGCTTGTTATGCAAAAGGTTATCCAAACTGTGAAGATAAGAAGCAACTTCAAGCGCTTCAAGGATTCTCATTTGTTTGGTGATGTTTTTCTCTTCACTGCCACATGATGTCACAGACCTAATTCCAAGTGATTAGTAACAATGGCAAAACAGTCATTGAAATAATCTGTGATAGAGAACTCTGGGACAACATGAAGAAGCTGTGCTATCAATAATTTCTCACCATTAATAATATAAAGTCCTGGTCTGCAGACACCAGACCTGCTCCTGCCTCTGCTTTCCAGAGGTGCCCCAGCTCTCTGCAGAGGGGCAGTGTGTCTGAGTGCAGGTCAGTGCTGTTCAGCTCCTTTTAAATTTGAATAATCTTGGGTTTATTGACTTGGCAGTGGATCACTTCACTCACCTCTTTTGTTTAAAACTATGTTTCTGGTTTCATTTGTGAACCATCCACCTGAAGGAGAGGCCTGGAAAAATGGAGTCTGAACCACCTGACATTTTCAAATGAACTGTTTTACCACCTTTCCCTTATTTTCTAGCCCTGCCATAAGTTTTTAGTTTCATAAATTTTGGAACCAGCCAAGATGAGCCAATGTCCTTGTTTGCTTTTTGGACAGGGAGTAGGGATATTTCACTGAAATGGAGTCTTGGAACTTGCAGTTTGCTGTTCAGAATCAGTGAGAACATGTACACTCTTTCGAGCATATTCTGGTAGCAGAATCCCAGCAGCGTTGGTTGGGAGGGACCCAGTCCAACCTCCTGTTGGAAGCAGGACGGTTGCCAGCATTAGGAGAGAGGAGAGCACAGCTGTGGGCGTCTCCATGTGCAAAGCATGATGGATAAAGGCTGTCTGTGACAGCAGCACCTGGATTTAAGGATTCCAGACCTCCTCACTAGTCCTGAGCCTGCTACCTCCTTGTATCTTGTGCATGGTCCTGTTGTGCTCACAGGAAGTTGACTGCCAGTACTTGGTGTTCCAAAAGTGATCCTCAGCTAATAAAGCAATCCTCAGCATTTTAGAAAAAAGGCAATTCCTGTATCAAATTAGTGCAAGAGATCATTCTGTTCACTCTTTGTCCACATGAAAGGCAGTGTAACTGCCAGAGACCATGATAACCTGCCCTTTGGGAAGCTCCTTTCTTCCCTGGGAAGAAATGGCCACCCAACACCTCCAGGACCTCTCCTGCCTGTATAAGAAGCTAATTCCAAAAACTAGGGGAAGAGGACCAAAACTGCACTGTTGAATCTCAGAGTTTTCCTGTCTGTCCCTCTGTATGTTCTATTCCACTGCAGGTGTATTCCATCGACAGCACCACGAGCTCTGCCCTGAAATATGGAGTAGGAAATGATCTGGCAGTTTCTGTAGATCACAGAAAATCTCTAAGTGGAAAATAAGGAGAACCTAGCAGCTTCTGAAGAGTAAATTCAAATTCACTCATGTGAGAGAGAAGGATTTGTTCCAAAAAGGTGATGAGTTAAGTGAGCTTGTAAGTAAAATGGCTCAACATTGTCCCATATTGATTTTTTTCTCCCAGAAATTACTCCTTCAATGAAGGACTTGCCTTTATGCTTCTCTCTCTCTTTGGCTGAGACTGAAGAGTGGCTGACCTGGGACAAATCTACCTTTTCCTTGCTTTGGTCACAAAAAACCCAGCTGAGAACAAACCTTCAGGAACCTGCTGCCAACAGAAGGGTGCCAGGCTTGGGTGCATCTGCCAGGGCACATGTAACACACCTCCTGACTGTGGCTAGGCTCATGATTTTCCAGTAACACACTGAAATGGCATTTCCCAGATTCCCTGATTTCCCCTGCCTTGTTTTCTCAATCCTTTTGGGTACACTTGCTTTGTTTTGTCAGAAACTGCCAAACCTCAGCAAGTGAACCGAGAACTGCCTCCCAAATGAATTCTGTAGCAGAAGGAGAGCGTTATCAGGCTGTTGTCCAAGGTCCTTTCCTTCAACACATCTGCACTTGCAGAGAGGAAAAGAAGGGCACCTATCTAAAAATAAAATTATGAAACATTTAGCTGTTGCTATTTTCATCACATATTGTTTTAAAGCTTCGGTTCACTTGGTGCCTCTTAAAGAAAATATAGACTTGGGTGAAGGGAAGCACCTGTATTACCTACAGAAACGCTTCTGAGTGCTGAGCTGTTTGCAGCCTCTGGGTACAGACTGGCCCAGAAATGAGGGAAGTGGAGGGTGATGGCTGTGGAAGGTATGGAGGCAGAGAGGGAATATAAATTGGAGCTGATTTCTTGGTCCCACTTTACCTGCTGTTGCCTGGGTGCTCCTTCCTTCCCACCCTTCCAGCCAGCACAGAGAGCTGTGGAGCCCAAGGCTGCAGATCAGGAAGGACGTGGCCAAGAGACACACGGTGATCCTGGGATGACTTGTCTGTCCTGGATGCTGGGAGATGGAAATACAGATTCACAGGAAAATTTACAGGCACTCAACAGTTTAACCACCATGAAGGAGTTTGGATTTCACATGTGAGCGGGGAATGAAGCCAGACACAGCTTCACCTTCTCCTACAACGACTCCAGCTGTCATGGCCAGAGGCTCAGGACACAATCAAACTCCACCTTTTCAGTTCAGCTGATGTTCCCAGACATAACACACCATCATCTGAGGGGCATGGGAATGTGGCAGTTCCCCTGGGCTTGGCTGCAGGGTCTCATTGAAAGAACAGGAGAGCTGGGGACAGGGACAAGCGCTGTGGTTGACACCAGGACAGGAGGACCACTAAGGCTGATCCAGCCACTCAAGAGCCACACTTACAAAGGCGATGGATAAATCACAATGAATCCCGACTTTTTACATCTACACATTTCACTTGACATCATTTCATCCTATCTAGTAATTTGATCCACCTTCTAAATCCAAATATCAATACTTTCAGTTACCTAAAAAAAGAAACAATGCTCACACATAGGAGCCCAGAAGCTAGAATTGAAAGCATAAAACCCCAGTAGGTCAACACTGAGTCACACTCTGGCAATTAGAGGGAAAATGAACACAGTTAACTCAGAACCACGTGAAGCTTTGTGCATTCAAAAACACCAATAGTGTTTTATTCAGAAAAAAGAAAGACTGGCTTTGAATGAGATTAACATTCACATGAGGTGACATTTGCCATGATAACGTGAGCCAGAAACAAGTCTTGCCCCAACAGTACAGGAGGGTGTGTATAATCCTCACAGAGGCAACAAGACCCCCCAGCTCTTCCCAAATTCCTGCAGAGCCATTCTGATGACCTGTCCTCAGGGGCTGCTGGTGTTGAGTTGATCTTTGGTTCTCCCTGCAGCTAGTTTATTGTTTTCTGGTTTAGCTTCTCTATCAGTCTATCTTATTTAAACTACATCCTTTTTATTTTTTTGAGCTTTACATTTTTGCCTTAGAGACTTTCTAGTCTGCAGCCAGATGGGGCCCCTCTTCTTTCCCTTGGCTCTACTCACTGTGAGGAGAATAAAAGCCTCCTCTGTTCTCTTTGGACAGGTTTCCAGCACTTGTAGGATGGTTTATCTGGAAGGAACATTTCAGATTTTTCTGTGCTGTAACAGACACCATAGACAGGGATGTATCTTCATTGCTGAAGGAGAGCAAAACCAAGAAAATTCTCTCTCCAACCCTCTTTTAAACTATGACAGAGCTCAGGCCCCCTCTCCACTTTGCTATCCTTGACCTCTCAAGAAGTTTTGCTCTACAAGCTCTTTCTTTCACAGGACCACAACAGCCAGAAGGGATCTCCAGTGCTCTCTGGTCCAGCCCCCCACCAGCTTGGATCAGGTCACCAGCATCTTCTGCAGTCCAGAGTGAACTAACCATCAAGGATGGAGACCCGACACTTCACTGGGGTCACTGGCCCCTGTGGAACTATTGGATCACCCTCCCAGGCCCTTACTGAGCAACCACCTTTATCAAATAGATATTACAGTAGCAGTCAGGGAGGGGACTGTGCCCACCCAGGATGTCCATTGGGCCCTGCTCACCCTGTGGCTTTCTCTGAACAGCTGGTTGTCCATGAAAGGTAGTACTTGAGGTTGCCCACAGCACAGATAGGCACTTAGAAAAAACAATTTGCACTAATAATAACTTTTTTGAGGTTATTCTTTATCAATCCCAGTATTTTCCATCTCTCCTGTAGGACACTCTGCACCTGAGAGGAACTGGGGACTGCACAGGGCTGAACACCCTTTAATGCCCCTTGGACCATGCTGGAAGGGGCAGGTGTCAGTGTACCTGCTACTCCTGGTAGCCGTTCCTGGTGGAAAACCAGCCTCCCCCCTAAACACACACTGGATGGAACTTCCTTTTCCTGGCAAGTGACTGTCACCCCAACTATAAATACATTCTTCAGAAACACATAAATGCATAACTTAACATCTGCTTTGACACAGGCATGGGAAGAAAGCGACACTGTTACCCCAGGGAGAGCTCACACCATTTCACCTGGTCCCCTTGGTGCAGCCCCGTGTCCCTTGCACAGGTGTGATGGCAGCCAGCAGCCACGGCTGGGACTGGAGCTGGGGCTGTAGTGTTCGGGGGTTTCTCATCACATTTAATGCTGCAACGTTTGTTTTCGGGCAGAAAATACCAGCAGTGCCCTTGACTTGCAGCAGTGCCTTGGCAGTGTTATGACTGGCCGGGTGGCCCTGTCCTCTGCAGACACCACAGTGACTCCCCACTGATCCTGATGCTCACGTGGGACTGGGGGTAGTCCCAGTGGGCTTCAGGCCCTGCACGCCACAGGGTGCAGATGGGAGAAGCCTTTCCAGGAAAGCATCCTTGGCCTCACTGGGACGGGGTGATGCTGAGACTGGGAGGCAGCTGTGGATTCTGAAGGATTCAGCACTTGAAGAGCTGTTGCCTCAATTAAAACCAGGGCAGAGGGTCAGGGGCCAGCCCGGAGCAGCGCCGAGCAGAGCTCGCCCAGGTCGCTCTCGTCATTCTCCTCGGGCTCGCTGCTGAAGGTGGAGGGGTTGCTGCCGGGCAAGCTGTGGCCAGAGCCTGTCCTCAGGGATCCTTGTCCCTTTGGGTCTGGTGTGTCCTGAAGGCACACACTGCCTGTGCCGGCAGGAGTTTGCTGGGAGTCTGGCTGAGAGTCGTTCCTCTGGCTGAAGAACTGCCCCAGCAGGGATTTCTGGAGGGTCGTTCGCAGGCTTTCACAAGTCCTCTGCTTTGTGCTCGGCTGGGTGTAATGCAAATCCAACTGCAGGACCACATCCGTCTGGAAGGGGAGAGCGGAGGACGCTAAGTGAATCGGAGACTCAGACTGGAAGCAGAGCTTTCCTGCTGTTGCTGCCAGACATGAGAGCCTTGGCTGGCTGTTGAGCAGGCTCACAGCCCCATGCTGTGGCGTGATGGAGCAACGCTACTGCCAGAGAAAACAAGCTGTTACACACTCACACGGCTCATGACGTCTGTGGGCCTCAGCCATGGATTCTGGATTTCAGGACTGCTCCTGAAATCAGGCCACCTCACTTGGGATCTTGTCAGCCCCATCAGTAAGCCCCAGTGCTCACTGTCACTGTGAGCATCACGCCCAGGATGCTGGCACAGGGGAGCAGGAGAGGAGGCAAGGAATGGCACCATGTCCATCCTGGCCGTGGCTGGGATCATTGCCCAGGGGAGAGGAAAGCATGAAAGGGAGGGATATGAACCACTCCCAACCCTGGAAGTGTTCAAGGCCAGGTTGGAATGGGCTTGGAGGAACCTGCTCAAGTGGAAGATGTCCCTGCCCGTGGCAGGAGGGTGGACCGAGGTGAGCTTTAAGGTCCCTTCCAGCTGAAACCATTCTGGGATGCTAAGAACTGAAACCACATCACACTGTAAAAGGCAACAGCTTTAAGCAGCAGCACTCCACAGGGATCCGTTCACAGCCTAGCACTATTTTAGAATTTTATAAAAGATGAAGAAATCAGAAAATAACCATGGCAGCCAAACCCCTGAAAGCAAACCCCCAGCATGGGGCTGTGCCTGAAATGCCTGGCTGTATAGAGCAGGGAGATGTATAATGGAACAAGATTTTGACAGGCAATGCAGGGTCCAGGTCTCCTGTCTGCACTTAAAAGTAATGCAGAACAGTTGGGAAAGGTTCAGAAAAGAGCTCCAGGAACAATCAAGGACTGAAAGCACTGCCATATGCTGAGGCACGTCACGTACTCAGCAAATGGAGCTTGCTGTGGGCAGCAGCAACCCAGGCAGAGAGCAGCGCTCAGTGCAAGACCCACCGGCTGTCCCTCCTGGGGAGGAGAAAAAAATCAAAGTAGAAACAAGGTGCACACTGCTGGGAGAGACAAGCCAGGGGACCAGCAATTCTGCCTCTCTCATGGTCTTTAAATAGTTTGAGGGTGTTTTGAAATGTGTCAAAGAGGCACAGTTTGGATCAGGCTTGGAAGAGTTACTCTGACAACAGGAGCTCCTGGCCAGCCCATGAGCTCATCTCTCAGGCAAGAACGCAGCCTAGTGAAGACATCCTTCACGTGAAATATTTGGGCAAGTCTGACCCCCCCCTAGGCTGATGGAGCAAAGAACAGTCTCCTGGCCAGGCAGCAAAGAAAAACAGAGCAAGCTATGATGGGTGATGCCTCTCCCCACTCCCAGGGCAGCTGCTGTGGGTCAGGTTTGCTGGGAGGGCCAAGCAGGGGAGAAAACACAAAAGCAAAGAGCATCCATGCTCAGGCTCTGCAGGCTGATCTGTAAATCAGAAAGGTTTTGCAGAGGTGGAAAAGGTGAGGTGAAAGAGGACAGTCCTCTCCTATGGAGCCAGGCTGGGAGAGCTGGGGGTGTTAAACCTGGAGAAGAGAAGGCTCCAGGGAGACCTTAGAGCTCCTTCCAGTGCCTAAAGGGGCTCCAAGAGAGCTGGAGAGGGACTTTGGACAAGGGCCTGGAGGGACAGGACAAGGGGGAACGGCTTCCCACTGCCAGAGTACAGGGTTAGATGGGATACTGGCATGAAATTCTTCCCTGTGAGGGTGGTGAGGCCCTGGCACAGGTTTCCCAGAGAAGCTGTGGCTGCCCCATCCCTGGAAGTGTTCAAGGCCAGGTTGGACAGGGCTTGGAGCAACCTAGAATGGTGGAAAGCGTCCCTGCCCATGGCAGGAGGGTGGAACAGGATGAGCTTTAAGGTCCCTCCTAACCCAAGCCAGTCTGTGACTCTGTGAAAGAGGACGGCTTTTGTTCCTTGAAGATCAACAAGCTCCTCTAACATCAATCTGGATGTGACACTGACACAGACGTGTGGCCAGAGGGGCACATCTAGCTGCAGCCACGGGGATGGGGAGCACCAGTTATGAGAGGATGTAGGAGAACAGCAGAGAAGCACCTGGAAGCTCCCTACCTGAATTTTCTGAAGTCCGCAGAGCTGGAAGACGCAGTCCAGCTCCTCCCGCTTGTACACGGAGGCGAGCAGAGTCTCCACATGGTCCAGACGGCTCTCCCTCTGCATGGCCACGGCCTCCATCTCCTGGGTCAAGAAAACAAGAGGAAATGCAAGGAAATTTCAGCATCAGCATGGAGCATTGAGGCACAAGTGCCCATCAAAAGTGCTGCTTCTCTGCACACAGCAATTTGTTTCCAGCCAGGAGAGTATCAGGAAATGCTGGACCCCAAACACTAGCTGGGATCTGCAGGCATCAAGGTCACCCCTCTGTGCATGGCCTGGTGGAACAGGAGTAGTGCCATTACTGATCCAGTAGGTCCACTGGAGGCTGCAGAAACAACATTTATCTCTGTGCAAGGGAAAGCTAAACCCCACCTCTGCACTTGTCAGCTTGTTACTGCTACCTTTGGAAATGGCTTCAGGGGTTATTGGCTCTATCGCTTTCTCAGAGATCACAGGGAGGTTGACCAACTTGCAGCTTCCCAGATCTTCGCTCCTGCCCTCCTGGCTTTCTGGCAGGCCTCAGGAGGACCACAAGCCAATGGAGTCTCATCACCAGCTCCCTCAGCACTTGTGGGTGCATCCATTAGGTGCCATGGATTTGTGAACATCCAGTTTCTTTAGTGCTTCCTGACCTGGTCCTCCTCCTCCTCTGGGTGTAAGTCTCCCTTGATCCAGACCTTTTTCCTAGTCTCAGGGGTCTGGGAGTCCTGATATACATGTAGAAGCCCTTCTTGTTTCCCCCAGATCCAGCCCCAAATGGGCTTTGGCTTTCTGAACCCCAGGCCTATATGCTTGAATCACATCTTTACAGTCCTACATCACCTGCCCCTGCTTCCACCTCTTGTACACCTCCTTTTCACATGTGAGCTCAGGTAGGAGCCCCCAGCACATCCATGCAGGCCTCCTGCAGCATTTGCTTGACTGCCTGTTCATCGGGATCCTTGAAAATCCCCCAGCTCTCCAGGGCTGTGTCCCACAGGAACACAGCTCTCCAGTCTAGTGACTTTGAGACATTCACCTGGGAAAGGAGCGACCTGATGTGTTTGCTTTAGCAGGAGGGTTGGACTGGATGATCTCTAGAGGTACCTTCCAACCCCAAACATTCCATAGCTCTGATCTCAAGGGATCAATTAAAACCCTGACACACGAAATTCAAAGCCCCTCAGCTACAGCAATTCATTAACCACAAGAATCTGCACTCTGCTAAATTCCCAGCCTCCATAGCCTCCTGTTCCACAAACTAATTCCCTTCCACATTCTCCATTATCATTTCTGGCTGCGTAGGAGAAAATGGAGAGAAGCATTTTCTGAATTAATTTTTTTAGCCAATTCGTACTTATTTATAAACCTTTCCCCATGGTGGAATACATTTTTTAATGAAAATGATGCCCAGGAATTGGCAAGGCCAGAGTTTTAGCTAGCCTAGAAAAACAGATATTCTATATAAATGGGGGGAAGGGTGACTGGAAAGGCCATTAGGTCAAACAGCTCCAGATCAAGTGAGTGGAAAACAAGGAGATCTAACATAAAGGTTTTTAAAAAGTAAGGATTCAAACAGTATAGAGAAAAAAAATGGGAATGCCCTAGCTGTCAGCATTGTTCCTTTCTACACGTGTGCTACAGCAGCCTCTCCCTCTGAAGACAGTGCTTGTCAGGTAAAATGCAAGTCAGGCAAGACACAGGATGGCAGGGAATATGGGACAACTAAAGAAAATTGATCAATGCCAGAAAATTCCATCCTAATTATCCCTGCCAAACACACAGCAAACCCAGTTAAATCCCTTTGATAAGCAGAATGTGGCAAGTGGTGGGAAAACTATCATTTCCTCAGCGAAGCAGCTTCCTGGGATCATTCCCCAGGGCTTGCAACCTCCCGTTCAGCCTGGTTTTGTTGGTCCTGCACTTCAGCAACCCCACCTCCCTCAGCATCCCCCGGGAGGGCTGGCACAGGGATCCTGGCAGAAGCCCTCCTGCAGATATCTGTGCACTCCCGTGGTCCCAGGGGTGCAGGGGTGGCCTCTGTGGGAGTCTGAGGTGGTGCCGGTGCCAGGGCCGGTGCGGTCGGAGGATGGTGGGAGGACGTGCTGCTGCCTCAGCAGACACCACTGGAGGTCAGTGTGAGCCAGCACCGCCGTGCAGTGGGACAAGGACAGGGATCCCACTGCTGAACTGGGGTGCCTTTCTTGTCTCCTCAACCCTCTTCAGACAGCTCCAGAGGCAGAAGCACACGGTTGAGTGCCCCTTTGCCCTGAGCTGCTGATGTGGGGTGGATGCATGCAAATATCTGCTCTCACACACACACACACACGTTTTTCATGCATTATTAGGGAGCTCACATGGGGGAACGATGCTCCAGCTTGGGAACAGGTAGGATCAGGCTCCAAACCTCCTGGATACACCACGCTGCATCAGTGACCCCAATGTACTGAGGAGCAGTGTCCCTCCACGAGCAACAAGGGCTGAAAAACCCACCACAATCAAGCTACACTTCTTCAGCAAAAGGACTAAAGAAAACGAGGGAGATGGTTAGCAGAAAGGAGCAGCAAGTTAAATCCTTAGTGGTGGCATGGAGACTATGGAGACCACCAGGAAAGACCATGCTGGGCAGGTGGTCTGTTAGGAAAGGTGTGAGAAAGGGTGCAAGGAAGCTGGTACGGCTCAACAGGGAAGAAATATGGAATATGAGCAGAGCAGGCTAAGAATGCATGATTCAAAAAGCCAGATCTGCTTCCAAACATGGAAAACAGAATGGCTCTTCACCTCAATCAGATTAAATACAATAATTTAATTAGGCAGGACAGAAATCAATCTGAGGAGTAACTGGTTAAAGCCATCAAAACGGTGCAAAATCCTTTTTGTGATGCATGAGGAGCAAGGCAGGTGGCCTGTAGGGAACCCACTGAGGCGTGGAAGGAGCTTCAAGGAGGTGTGTGCAGAGGAGGGGATCCTTTTCCACCTGGGATTAGCCTTTCCCAGCCCTCAGGACCCCCTGGGCTCAGCCCAACCATGCTCCCACCTGTGTCCTGGGGAAAGCAGCCCAGGAAGGGGAGCTTAGAGGACTCACCGGGGGCTGGCAGAGCAGGAGGCGAGTGGCAGTGACATGGGCCGGGGGGGCCTGCAGCTTTGCACACACGGACATCAGGTTGGAGAAGAGCCGCAGGAAGCGGAGCTCTGCCCGGGCCCCACAGGGGAAGGTCAGTGTTCTGCTCAGCGGCTCTGGAAGGGAAATTCAAGAGGGATCAGCTCCTCAGAGGGTCCAGCCGACATCTCCCTGCAGCCCGGTGTCCCTGAGGGGCACAGGGACCTCCAGCCCTCTCCTCCCCATGCCCTGCACGGCTCACCGTGGCTGTGTCCCCAGCGCTCGGCACCTGCGCCGGAGGGACAGATGGGGTCTGTCAGGGACCGGGCTTCCTTCAGGGTGTGTTTGATCTCCATCACCTGCTTCCCAGTTACCAGGGGATCCCGGCCAATGTCTGTGGAAAAGAGTTGCAGGCACATGGGCCACTCCAGGTTCCTTATTGATTTCCCTGCCTTTCAGATCCTACATGAACGTCTCCATACTGCTGCCAGGCTACTGAGAGCTCACATGGGGCACAGCCTGAGATTTGGATTTTAGGGAGGAACGGTTGGCTGGCTGCCTGGGATGGGGTGGTGTGGAGCCACTTGGTCTCTGGTCTCTCTTCTTACCCCTGCTACTGAAGCGAGTGGTTTCTCGCTTGTCCCTCACCTTCCAACACATCCTCCAACATGTGTGTAACCTTCTTCTCTTTCAGAATGTGTTTCTTCAGGTATTTCATGAAGATCCCAGAGCTGAACTCCCCATCCTGCAGTTCATAGGCTTCTGCATCTTCACTCCTGCAAGAATAAGGACATTTCTTCAGTCCCCACATTTCTGCACCAGGAACAAAGTCCTGAGTCTGGGCTTGCCAACTCCATCCAGATTCTTTTGGCTGATTCTGAGTTTGCTTCTCAAGGAATAACACAAAGTGCATGGGTTTGGCCCAGGAGATGGTGGGAAGGGCACAGGATGGGAAAAAGCAATGGAAGGGGATAGGATAGAAAAGCACAGTCTCCAGCCTAGGCAGGTGACAGAAGGTGAAAAACCAGAAAAGCTGGCACTGGAGCAGTAAACAACACCCATCATCTCAGGAGGCTTCAGGTGGGCTGTTCATGGCACATGAACCTGGGGAATCAGGCTCAGGCCTGAAGGACAGGTGACAGTAGCTGAGGTCACCTCTATGCACAAGCACAGGCTGCCTTGAGTGATGGCAGGAGAAAGGACAGAAGCACTTGAACAGCAAATGCAGCAGTTGGAAGGCGAGAGCCAGAGGAAACATAGTGAAGCCCTCTCCAGCCTCCAAAGCCACCGTGCATGAAAGGATGAGAGTGGGTACAGCTGTGCCAGCATCTGGTCCTGTGTGCCAGCATGGGACAGCAAAGTGCACTTACGTGGCATAGCCATAGACAGTATTTCCCCAGGGCTCCAGCGGCTGCACCTGGGAGAGGGCACGTCCTGGGTTGTACCTGGAAGAGAAAGAAAAGGCACGAGTCAGTGTTGAGGACATCTGTCAGCTGGAGGGGACAAAGCCCACACGCTCTCCCACATCCATCTCCTAGGGATGGCAATAGCATCAACCCTCACCTCAGATCCAACCACAGAGACAAAAGCTGGGAGTCCCACCAAGAACCCAAACCACAGGGAAATGAGTAGATAGGTCCAGCTGTGACCTATCTGCACTGGTGAGCTGCTCCCTGTCCCACACTGAGCCTGGAGCTGTGGGGACAACCTTCCCTCCTCTCTCCCGAGGCTGGATTTTAACAAATCCAGGCAGCAACAAAGTGCAGAGAACACACGGGGTCACTGTGGCCCAGTGGACAACTGTCCCTGTGGAAATCATGTGTGCACAACACATGATTACGGCTCAACTGCCTCTGCTGGGGTCTGGGGCACCCCACAGGGCCCCTCCAGACCACACACACACTTCTGCCTCAGGGAACCAAAGCAGGTTATGGTTCATACACCCCCAGATCTCACCGAGAGACGGGATCAGAAGACACACACCCAGGTCTTGAAGCCCAAAACTGGCCCCGACACCCTGGTCTAGATACAGCTGAATGAGAACAGCTCCTGTTATTTCCGAAATCAGGTAGAACCACGGTGACAGGCCTGGTTTTCACCAAAAAAGATCTCATGGTTGCACTGAATGGTCAAGCCTTGCCCATCTGACTGCATGGGGACAGGCTGCCTCCAGTTCACACCAGTGACATGGAGCTGTTCCCAGTCACATAGTGACAAGAGCCAGGCACAGAGGCAGCGTTACTCCACATTATTCAACTCCAGCACTGCTTCCTGGGGCTGAAGCTGGCACACTAAGGAGAGCAGAAGGGATGGCTGTATCACCAGCAGCCAGTGTCACCTACTACTGGTGGCACAGTCTGGAGATATTTCATAGTACGATTCAATTGGCTTCTGTAAGTTGTCTTAAAGATGATCAGAAGAGAAAATGTGGGAAAGGAGATACGCTTCTAGATATAAATACTGAGATTTATCTGCTCCTCAGCTGCTCCTAAATTAATGCAGAAATCTGGCATTCCAGGTCCAAGGATAAATCAGAGCATTCCTGGAAGAGGCAATCGCATCCGCCCAAAATCAGCACATAAATGTATGAGGCTACACACAGGCTCCATGTTCCTGGTTCCTCCTCTGCTAAAGCTGAACATCTGCTCCCACTTGGCAAAGGAGGCTGTGTTTCTCACCACCCTGGCATTTCTGATGCCAACATATGGGGTGAGGAGATGCTCTGGGTGAGCTCCTTCTCAGCACAGACACAGCCCCTCCTGGTTTGTACACAAGCTGTTGACAGACCTGCAGCATCAGTCCTTTCCCAGACCCAAGGGCCTTGGGAAAGGAGACCCTGGGAGCCTCATTTTACACAGCGTTGTAAACACATACAGCTATGAAATCCAGACGCTTTCCCAAGCTAAAATGGTGACTTCTCAAAATAAAGGAGCTCAGGAGAGAGTTTCTACAGCAATCCCCCACAAAATCAGGGATAACACCCACTGCATGAAGTGCTGTGCTTGTTGTGGAAAAGGGGAGGTGTGAGCTTTAGGGGAGGAGAGAGAAAAACAGCTGCACAACCTTGCCTAAACATCCCAGCAGATCTCACACTGCACCCTCTTCCCAGAGCCCATTGAGACTACACTGAGCACAGGAACGCCAAGGAAGGAGACAGCAGCTCAAAAGCTGTTTTATAGACTGTTAACATTTGTGTTGGTGATCCCTGTGCAGCCTCCATGTCACCTCCCCATCACACACTGCCCTTGGACAGCAGCCCAGAGGTGCAGCTCCAGCGGTGTACCCGTGAGAGCCAGGTGTTCCTGCTTGGCTGCATGCCATCCTCTGCCTGTTATCCTGCTGGGGAGAGCAGGAAGGTGCTGCCAGGTGTGCCAGGGAAGTAACACACACTGCTTTCAGCAGAGAGTAAGAAGGGAGAAAGGGGATGCTTCACTCTGGGGAGCTCAGGGCAGGATCAAGGCACATTAAGATCTGGTGACACTGGCAATTCAGAGCTGCAGGATAAGTCTCTGCACAGCCAGCTTGAAGCTATTCAAAGTGAGCATCCCCACCTCTGCAGCTACAAGGCATCAAAGATTTATCCTCTCTCCAAGGGCTGGCAGCTCTTTCAGGGTATCAAAATCCCTGTCGTCTTTCCGGTTCTTAGCACAGGAACCACAGCAGGAAGAGAGAGACTTTCCTGCATTTGCTCTCCAGGTCTTTTCTGACCTGTAAATCTGCCTCAGGAGACTGAAATAAATGAACTAATGACAGCTTCTACTGCAACAGTCCACCCACCTCTGCTGAAATTGGACAAGTAGTAATTTTCTGCAGCAGGATAGAGGTCTGCAGGCCAAGAGAGGATGATAGGCTTTCCACAGACAGTGGGAAAATGCTGATCTCTGACCTCAGCAGCAGCTGCTTCACAACACAGCCACTTCAGAAGGATTTAAGGCCAGTAAAAAGCAAGTAGCAGGGCTTAAAATATTTTCCCCATCATGCTGCACTCTTCTCACTGAGATGTTAACAAGAATGCAGCCAGGAGAAGAGAGGTGAGTTGAACACTCCCAGCCTGAGCACTTGGGAAACATGGACCAGGAAAGCACATGATCAGCAAGACAAGGTTAGGTGGGTCAGGCTTGAAATATAAAAGACAAACCCTGTGCTGAGTTTCAGCCAACAATTTATGCCAGACACAGCCATCACTCCATGGGCTTGAGGCAACCATGGGCTTGTATTTGCCAGGCTTCTTCACCTCAAAAAATCCAAGGATTTTTCAAGCCCCTTCTCTCCAGCAGATCTCAGACAACATTTGATGCTCTCTGCACTAATATGTGAATGACCCATCTTTCCAGAACATCCTGCAGGACCTAAAAGTGCTGCTGTTTTATGACACACAATCAATAACCTTTGATGGAGCAGCACCACGGGGGACGTGGCCCCAGCAATCCACGGGAACACCCCACAGGGAGAGTTGAAGCCCAGAGCTGAGGCTGGACACCCTTCCCTGGCCCCTCAGAACACCCATCCAAGGTGAGGAAGGGGGAAGAGCACCCTACCACTTCCTGCAGGTGTCCAGCAAGATGATGTTCAGGGCTGTCTGCTGCTGCTGCATCTTCTGGAGGATCCTCTGCACACTGATGCAGTTCTCAGGGGAGTAGGGCTGGGGGGCATCAACAGGGACCATGTAGTTCCTCCCCAGATGTTCGTACCCATGCCCGGCATAGTAGAATATAGCTGGGAACAGAGAGAGGAGAGAATGAATCAGGATGCCAACCTGCAGGTCTGTAACCAGCTCCCTATGGCCACATCCCACCTCCTGAAGGGATACTGGAGCAGGGCAGACCTAGACTAGCAGCACCTATGGAACTGCAGCTACGCTGACCTCACAGTTTTGACTTTTTTCCAATTTATCCCTTCTTTATCCCTTTATCCCTTCTGTAAAGTCAGAAGCAGCCCTGAGAGGCTCCCTTGTGCTTGTGGATTCCCACACTGTTTGTCACCTGAAGTCACTGGGTTTACATACTTCCAAGCCCTCTGTGCTACAACACCCAGGCTCAGCACCTGCCAGGCTGAATTCCACCTTTGTACAAAGTTTGGGTTAATCCTCAGGTCTTTAAAGGAAAATGACAACAGAAAAAGATTTTACCACAGGATTTTACACTAACAGTCTTTTAAATGAGAAGCTTCTCATTTAAAAGAAGCTTCCTAGTTTTGGAGAAGAGTGATGAAAAACACTCTCCAGATTTCAAAGGTCTGCCTGTATTTATACACCTATAAACTGGCGAAAAATTAGACAGAGACGGAGAGACAGAGAGTTCTCTAGATGTCCAGAACACATGGACCACATGCTTCAACAACCTCAGACCAGACAGGAATGGCCCAAGCTGGTGCTCCCCTCTGACCCGTGTCCCGTGCAGGGCTTTCCTCCTGCACAGGGATCCTTATGTGGGCTGAAGCTTCCCTAAAGGAAATTGCACAGTGGCTGGTCACCCCTCCCCAGCGCTGATGACACTGCTTGGGGGATGCTGATTGATGAAAGCCAACTTGGGGAACTGAAATGGGTTAAAAATAGCTCTGTGAGGTGACACAGTTGTGCTACCACAGTGGAGGGATGGTGAAAAGTGAGAGATCAGAAATGGGAACAAGCAGCTAAAAGGCAACAGCAGGAGAAATTCTTCAGTCAGACTCACTGCCAAAGCCCACACTTGAGCGAGTAACCTCTCCTCTGTATTCCCTCTACTGTTCCTGCCCCTGGACCTGGCAGGACACTCGCCTTGATCTCTGATTCTGCAAGGGATGTGGTGACAGGGGTAGGAGCTGAAGGACTAAAAGCATGACCTCATCGTGTGGAAGATGGAAAACATGATCTCATAGTCAAAGAGGCCTCGAGTCACCTTTGGTTTCTATTCTCAGGGGACAATGGAAAGTTTCTCAAATGGCTGTTTCCACAGATGCCCACAAGATTTGGGTTCCTCTTCTTGTGGACTGTCAGCCAGATACGGCTCTGATCTGCAGAAGCTCTGAGCTTTTGTAACTTGCAAATCAAAGCCACAAAACCCTCCCCTGACACTAGAAAAGAGTATAAAACTGGAAACCTTCTGGAAAAATTAGATGCAGGCATTACAGGCTGGGCCCCTCAAGTCATCAAGTACTGGTGCCTTTCATGCCTCTGCCCCTGTTCATGCAAGGAAGTGATGACATCTATCATCAGGCAGCATCACTGATGCTTGGAAAAAAATTAAATGCTACAGAAAAGCCCACAAAGAACGATTCAATCCTTAAATTTTCTAACTTTTGAGGTCTTGTGCACCTGAATGCACCACCAGGTGCTCCCCACACTATATAAATCCCAAAGATTGGTGTTCAAATCCAAAAAGACATGTTTCACAACAGCTGAGCAACTTTTCCAGCCTCTTCTGGACATAATTTCTCTTCTGAACAGGAGAGTCAACAATTTGCTCAGAGAAGGAAAGGGCTTTTTTATTCTGAGCTCTTCCCACGTCGTGTGAGTCAGAACTGCTGATCACAGACAAACTTCCGAGTACCAAATTAAAAAGGGGAAGCTCCAGGCACTGCTCATAATGCAGGAAATGTCAGCATGAGGCTTAATTAAGGCATGACTCCATATTCCAAGTATTTCACTCACAACTTTCTGCTCTCGTTGCATTTTCAATGCAATTTTTTTGACTCGGGACTTTTTAGGACACTCAAAATAACATCCTGGGGGATTCCTCGTTCGCCTGAGGAGAGAATGATTTAGATCACTCAGAGGATGCTTGGGGCCTTCAAAAATCCTCTGCAGCTTTTCTAAGAGATCTGAAGGAAAAGCAGCCCAATGACCCACCACCTCCATACTGTGAATTGGAGAAGCCTTTGGTACATAAAATCACTAAGCCTGGAAAAGACCTGCAAGATCATCAAGTGCAACCTTGGACTGAATCCCACCATTTCCACTAAACCATATCATGCAGTGCCACATCCACTCACTTTCTGAACACTTCAGGCCCAAGGCCTGGGAGGAGGGGGGAAAGGCGCTGGTCTGGTCTAGAGTTGTGGAAGTGGATGAAGGTCTCACGACAGCCTACAGTTCCCGGAGGGGCAGTTACAGAGACCATAAAGCCTTACTCCCCTTGTCAGCATGGATCATACAACGTGGGGCAGTGAGCACCAACCCATGGAGGCTCATGTTCAGCAATCAGCCCTCTCCTCCCTCTGTATGTCTACACAAAGCTCTCCTGATTTCAGCTGTGGTGATTGCTACACAGGAGGTGTAACCTCCAGGTAAAGCCTGAGATACAAGGGGATTTCAGAGAGCAACCACAAAAGGAAGCTGCAAGTGAAGTCATAGGAATACGCTGTCACCAGGTGATGTCACGGCCGTGTGCGGCCCTTCCCACCAGCTCAGCCTCCCTGGTGAGTCAGTGCTTCCCGGAATAAGGTGGCTGCACAGCATTTCCCTCGTGGCCATGTCCCTATTATCCATTGCACAACCTCCAAACCTCCTGCTGAGTGCCAGGCTGGAATCGGCCCACGCTGACTTTCACTGTCTGGGTGCCGCACAGCTGGGAGATAAGCCTCACACTGAGGTTCGGAAGCAAAAAAAGCCCACCTGGCAAGGTATTTTCAGGGTATCTGTCGGGCTGGGAGAACTCAGGGACCCCAAAGGTGCTGCTTTACCCACCAAATCTGAACACCTGCTTTAAGACCCACAAGATCTGCCGGTTGGGTTTGTGCCTGAGGATCACTTCCCACTGAGAACAGTGCGCAATAAGCTCAAAGCCCAACCTCAAAGCCATCTGCAGCTGGCAGTGCTCTTCTGCAAAAGGGCTGTCAGGGGCCCAAATCAGACCTTCAGGAAAGAGAAACAAGGAAATCATAGCCAGATGCAGCAGTCAGGGCTCAAAAGGAGCTCCCCTACCACACACAGAATAAGTCTCCTCTATTCTGTTATCTACAGAAAAATGAAAACCCCTTTTCCCATTCACTATCAGAAGCACTGGCTCCCCAAAAACTCAGCGTGAGCCCATGCTGTTGGGGCTGGAGGCTGCCACGTGATGGAGAAACACTGCCTTTGCTGGCTGTAAGCTGCCCAAAACTGAACAACACTTAATCCAGGAGCTTCTGCCAAGCCTGGCACCACTGCAGACTGTGCTGCAGGTCTCCCTTGAGAGAGGAAAGTTCAGTTTCTTCTTTTTCAATTCAACAGCTGTTCAGAAAATTGCCAAATCCCTGCTCAGCATGGGCAAGTGGCTGGGCTGGCTTGGCCTTACCATAGACTCCCTTTTCCAGGAGCTGCAGGAACTGACTGACCGCTGTCGCCATCTCAGCCTTGTTCAGATCCAGGAGGGAGACAACCTGGAAGCCCAGCTGTTCCAGAAGACGACTCAGCTCAAACACATCCTTGACAGGAGCCATGAGGTTGGGATGATGCTGGTAGTGGTTGTTGCCCACTAAAAGTGCTATTTTGCCTGTAGCTGAAACAAACATCAGGTGACAAAGCTGTAAACGCTCAGTGGGAGGCAAGGTCTCACCTTCTCCATTGGAGTGAGGATTCAGGAAATCTAACAAAAAATTTAGGCAGGAAGGATAGACCCTAAGCTGCTGAAAGCCTCGAGCACCCTCCGGAAAGCCCTCGGCTTTCTGAACACTTCAACAAAATACACAATCATTTTGACAGAAAGGGTTGAAAAGTTTACACTTGACAGCCAAAATCTCAGGAGTGCAGGAGGCTCTGCTCTACCTGCCCTACCGTGACCATGGGCCTGGTGTGCCAGCAGTGAGAGGGAGGGGGATGCACTGAGCCAGGCTAAGGAGTCCTTTCCCTCACAGGGCTGAAATAGAGAAACCCTGGGGTCCTGCTTCGATTTTATCCCCATCTCCCCACTGTAAAAAAAAAAGGATTTATGTCACTCAGCAGTGGTGGGAGTGAGGAGCTTTGCCCTGCTCTGAGGAGGTATTTCAAGGAAGGGAAAAGGTGTCATTTGAACAACATCTTTAAACTCATTTGGCAGCCTCAGAGCTCAAGACTCAGTTACTCATTAGGAATAATATTACTCCACTTGCTGAGAAAGATCAGGGTTTGGCAGGGGACGGGACTCATCTTGTGCCATGCAGCTCTGATCCCAAAAGCAGAGAGCCTGTTGCAATGTGGGCATAAAGGCTTGAAGTGGTCTCTGCAGGAAAAGAACTCCCACTCCCTGTCTTCCCATCCATTCTGGAGCCTGGCTTTGAATTAAGATAATAAGAGCTCAGGAAGAAAAGACGACAGTACTCACCAAAAAACTTTTCAGAGACACATGTACCTGGGAAAGAAAGAGGGAAATGATAAGCCTGTGCCCAGCATCCAGTGCCAGGTCTGAATCCTGCTCCAACATTCCCAGCAATGCACAGCTGGATCAAACACATAGAGGATCTGTATAAGCAACGCTCCTGGGGCAACTTCTTCACAGCCTGACTGCTAACCTTAAACACACTGGTCTTCATGAAATCCTGCCTGATTTAAGACACCCTGAGCATCTGGGAAGCAAAGACTGGAAAAGGGGCAGGCCAGGGAAGGAAGGTCAGCACGGAGGAGCTCATACCTGGGCTTCCTGATGCGACTCACCTTCTCCCTCACTGCAGCAAAAGCAAAGGTAACACAACGACTCAAGGTCAATAAAAGCTCCAAAACAGAGTTTCTCCCCATAAACATCTGGTGCAGAGGGAGCCACCATTTGCTTTTGATTGTGATAATATTCCCCGAGTTGCTCATCTCCCTTCTCTGACTTTCCTTGCTTTTTAGCAGTTCTGGCTCAGAAAAGCCCCCCCAAATGTGACTCACTTTGGTGAGCCCCACAAGCTTCCCTGCCCAAGCACCTCCAGCTTCTTAAAATTGTTAGTCAAACAGCTCCAGCTTTTCCTATTTAAATTAGAAATTAATTTCAAAATTCATCCCAGGAGAAAATTATAAAACCCTACAGGTTCTAAAAGAAGAAATTAAAGATAAATTTCATACATCTCATGGGGCTGGAAGACCTCTGGCCCCTGAACCAGTGTTGCTGAGGCACCAGGGATGCCTGGAAAGTTCAGAACAAAACCATTCATCCTTTTCTGCCTCTGACAGAGGCCCCCGTTGCACGTTAAGCTCCGTAGCTGTAATGCTTTGAACCCAACCCAATCTGGTGTCCTTTTCTTGCTGCCTGTCCCACCTGGACGCAGTTTTGCCAGCTGTGGGGAGGCAGGCAGATTGCTCTCTGGATATACAGGAACAATTTGCACTTTGGAGAAATTTTAAAGCCAGCTTAAAAGGCAGGATGAGAAGCTTATGGCATAGAAAAATCTCTAGATGGAGTAAAGAGCCAGTCAAGCCAACCTGTGGTATTCCTGCTTCACACAGAGCAAAGGCAGGGGGCCAAGGGAGAGGTGGAGCATGCCTGAGGCTCTGGGGACACATCTTATCCCTGGGATCTGTCACTCATGCAGCATCAGCCCTCAGCTGCCAGCCCGAGGGGCCTGAACCTTCCCAAAATAAACCCCATCCTCTCTGGCTCTTTGTGTCTGAGTGCATCACTTCATCCCAGTGAGGCTGGAAATGAGTTTGGGCACAAGAGCCCACTGCGATTTGGCTGTGGAACTGTGAAATCAGCACCTTGGCAAGGCAGGAAAACCACAGGGAGCAGCTGAGAGCACCGAGCCTGCCCTAACACAGCAGGTTTCTGGCAGACTGCAGAACCCAGCATCCCACCCCCCCAGACAGTGCATCAGCAGGTCCACGGGGTTCTCTTTTCCAGCCACCGCTTCTCTCGCTCCCTCTGGCCCCTGATACCAAGGAATCCTATTTATCACAGCCCTCGTTCACCAGCTTGGTGCTTCCAGACGAGAGCATTAAATTCCATTGTACCCTCTAATTACTTCTCACTCCAGGTGATGTGCAGCAAAGCAACGGGGGTTGGCTCTGCTCACCTACGTGAACGTCCACAGCGTTGGTCCAGTGCTCTCCGTGACTGTTGGAGGCACAGCAGAGGTACGTGCCTGAGTCACTGACCTTGGCATGGGTGATCTAGACAGATCAAAAGTTAAACCACATTATTTATGGTGAAAGTCTGCAGCTCCCTGCCAGGATCTGCTGAAGCCACCCATGTTCCTGGAATAGAGTACTTTTCCTGCTATTCACTGAGACTTTGCCTCAAAAAGAATCAGGACATGGACAAGAACCAGAGCAGTACTGGCTGGCAAGGACTCTGGTTCTCCAGCCCAGGATCCTGCTCAGAGAGGGACTAAAGCCACCACTGAGTCAGGTTGGCCATAGTTCTGTCTATTCCAGCCCTGAACATCTCCAAGGACAGAGACCTCACTGTCTTTCTGGCTCCAGTGTAGCACCATTCACCTCCAAATGAATAACCTCTTCCTAGTGCCCAGCCTGAACTTCCCTGTCAGAAGTGCACAGAGGACTTTCCCACAACCCCACAACCAGCTTCTCCCATCACCCGCCTCAGCAGCCAAAGCTTCTGAACTATCCCCAGGCAACCTTACCCAGAGTTTTTTTCTCTTGTGCTGTTCCAGCAGGTTCCCATTCCTGTACCACTGGTAGCAGGGGGCTGGGACCCCCATGGCAGCACACTGCAGCTGCAGTGGCTTCCCCACCTCCACCCTCTGCTCCATGGGGTTGAGGATGATGACGGGCTCTCCTCGCCACAGCCGAGGGGGCAAACCTGCAAGGCAGCAACATGGAATTGGTTCTCCCTCCACGAGGACAGCAAACAACAGCCATTTTTCACTGTCACCACTGCACCTTTCTGCTTCGGGAGCAAGGAATGCTTGGGAGCAACACCTGCAATAGCCAATGCCAGACCACAGCCCTGCCTCTGGCTTCCCAAACCTGACCCTTGCCCTTTCCTGCCAAGGGTGCAGTCAACATGCTGAGGTCAACCACACCCTGAGTTATTTTTGGTCAGCTTTGAAGTAGCCAGATGGACTCTTCCAGTCCCAGCACCCCAAATAGCCCTAGAAAACCCACAGTGAGTGATCAGCAGGAGGTGTAGGTACATGCCAGGTTGGATGGGGCTTGAACCAACCTGGTCTAGTGGAAGGTGTCCCTGCTCGTGGCAGGGGTGTTGGAACGAGATGAGCTTTAACGTCCCTTCCAACCCAAATCATTCTGTGATTCCATGATACATCAAGAATGTAGAAGACATGCTCGTACCTCTGGCGACACACTGATGGACCTCCACCTTCACCCAGTCAGAGAAGACAGCATTTCTGTAGAGGTCATTGACTCTGCAGGTGTAGAGCTGGGTCTGCTCTGCAATAATGGGCAAGTCTGGGTTGGTTGCTCCAGGAATCTGGTGGCAGTCAGACTAAAGGGAAAACACAGGCAGTGGGCAGTGATTCCCTCCTCATTCCTGGCAGCAGAAGGCACTAGGAAGCCCCTTGTAAGAGCAGTAAAAGTGGAAATTCCCGATTTCCTCCCTTCCTTCAGCTCCCCCACTGTGTGCAGGGACCCAACCTGGTGCCATACCCAGGAACACATGCTCCCACCCTCACCTGGTGCTGACAAAACCACTGGTACTGCAGCAAGGTGCTTCCCTTGGCTCGGCACCGCAGTGTGAAGGAGTATCCCACTGGGACAGAGATGGAGACTGGCTGCTCAGTGATGGTAATGGCTGTGAAGAAACAGGGTGCAGAGGTGAAAACAATCTAGTAAGCACAGCCCAGGGCTCGCTGGGCTACAAGAGTGGCATCCATCCTAGCGGGAAGGGAAGTTTGGAGAAACCGGGATGCTCTGTGCAGAGGGAATGGACGAAAGGACGGATGGGTGGATGGGTGGGCGGATGGGTGCCACGAGGATGCCACGAGGCTCTTCTGGGTGCTCTCCCAAGTGTCACAGGGGTCGCACGGTCACTCTTCCCACCGCCCCGTGGCCGCTCACCTTCCTGCATCGCTTCTCCGGCGGCTCCTTCCTGGCCTGGGCGGCCGCCGGCCAGACCCGCGACGGCTCCTCTCCCCGGGACGCGGCGGCGGCACCTGCGGCGAGGGGACGGCGGCGCTGGGGGCGGCTCGGGCCGGGCCGAGCGGCCGCTCACCCGGCGCGGCGGCCCATGGCGGGCTCGGGGCTGCGGCGCCGGGCCGAGGCCCGCACTCCGCCGCCGCGGCCCCGCGGCCCCCGAACTTCCGCGCTCCCGGCCCGCCCCGCGGGGGCGGCGCCGCGACACCGCGGGGCTGCGGCGGCTCCGCAGCGACCGGCCCGGCACGGCCCGGGACGGCACGGCCCCGGACGGCACGGCCCCGCGCGGGGTCGCCGGGGACGCGCCTCTCGCTCGGGTGCCAAGGCTCCCGCACCACCCTGCCCACGAGTGACCTCTCTCCCTCCCCGCCGCCTTACAGGTGTATTTGAACATATCCGCTCCCTATGGGTGTCCTCCTCTCCTTCCCGCGGTGCCCCTCTCGCACACTCCTTAGAGGTGACCTCATCTCCACCACCTTGCCCCTCTCTCAGAGTGTCCTCCCCTCTTCCCCACAGTGCCCTTCCCCCCCTACAGGTGTATTCACCCATATCCCCACGGGTGTCCTTGCCTCCCTCCCCACCAGTGTCCTCAGCCCGTTCCCCACAGGCGTCCTTGTCCTTTCCCCACAGGTGACCTCACCCCCATCCCCATAGCCATCCTCACCCACATCCCCAATGGTGTCCTTCCCCACAGATGTCCTTGCCTCATCCCCACAGGTGTTCTTGCCCCTGTTCCCATGACCACCCTTGCTCTCATCCCCACAGACACTCTCACCCCCTTCCCACTCCCACCCAGCCCATCACCCTCACACCCCACAGCCGCTCTCACCTCTCTCCCAGGAGCCACGGACAGAAAGGCTCATGTTGGGCCCAGCGCTGCTCTGTGGGTAGGCACGTAGAACCTGCCTCCTCCTCCAAGAAGTCCCCACCAGCTGGGCCAGGCATCACGAGGGCCCCAGGGGAAGTGGTGCTGGCAGCACCAGAGGTTGCACAAGCCCCTCTGGGAGGGAAGGGACACAGTGGAGCGTCAGGACTCCAGTGCTGTGCCGTGACTTGCACTTACAAGGTTAGGGCAAGGTCAGACTTGTTAACCCAGAACTCTTCACCTTTCAAGAGGCAGCAAGACTACAAGGAAATGAGCGGGAAATGGTGGATGGAGAGGACAGAGGGTGGCCAGGGAGTGATTGATTGTCATTCCCAAAGAACTTTGCAGTGACCAGGCAGTGAGACTGACACAAAGCCTAGGAGGATGAAGCAGGTCTGGGCTCAGGACTTGGGGTGACAAGATTCCTACTCCCAGGGCAGAGAAATTCCCAACAGGCTGGCTTCTCCCCAATAGTCCTAGGAAGCAGGTCCCCACAGAGCCAGGAGTGATGGGGACCAGGACTTCTGAGCATGAGGGGGGACCATGGACCAGCTAGAGAAGAGGTTGTGAGGGGCTCTCACTTCTCTGCTGAAATTTTTCTCCCCTGGGGCTGTAGCAGTGCTTATGGGCTGACCAAGGAAAAGCGAGGCCATCAGGAATGTCTCTCCTAAGTGGCAGCATGGAAGGGCACAAACAGATCATCAGGATGGCAGAGAGAAGCAGTTGTGGCTGAGAGTGGTCGTGGATCACCTCCACAGGGCAGGGCTGGGCCATGCAAGGGTCCGAGGGACTAAGCAAGGCTGAAGGATGTCCCTCTCCCTGCTGCTTTTCTCTTAGAATGGATGGAGAAGAAGGTGGTAGGAAAAAGCCAACCCAACACAACTGGTAAATGCAGGAAGGATTTTCTCTCTCCATGTCCTTTCCTCTGTGCAGGATGGGACAGTTATGCTGCAAAAGCAAGAAAACCTGCTACACCCTGTCCATCCAATGTGATCCTGAGTAACCCCTGCTCCAACCAGGACTGGTCTTTTCCTTTCATGGATACAGAAAAGGTGATGCCTAGCTCATCTCCCCAGCTGTCTGAGATCACACGGACCCTCCTTTTTCCTGATTTCTTAGGAGTCCAGGCAGGCATTTGGAAATATACACTTGCAGGTTTAAAACCTATGAACGATTGCAAATGAAGGTTCTGGCTGAATATGTGCCAGCAGCTCCGTGCCACGCCTGTGCTGCAGAGTTATTATCCATGCAGCACAAGGCAGCTAATAAAAATGATCATTAAATTAACCCCAGCACTTTCCTAGAGCTAAAGATGACAATTCTGGTTGATGCAGCATCTCTTCAAACAGCTGGAGGTTGCTGCATTCCCTGTAGACTGTTTCTCCAGGCTTCAGAGAGAGAATCCTTCTCCAAATACCTGCTCAAAAAGTCTGTCGTATTTGTCCTCTATAGCAGAGCCCTGCCCTGGCACGGTCTGTGTGAATATCTGGGGAAGAACCAGGGGCGAGAGCTTGTTGTCAGAGTGCAGGAAGAAGCCTGTGATTTTAGAAAGGGAGGAACTTATGGGCGCAGGGTGGGAAAGGGAAGGATAAATAGTGTGAGAGGAGTGAGAAAACATCTGCGACGTGCTGTGAGTCAGTGCTGGATTTGCAGGCAGAGGAGGAAAGCTTTGCTAACAAGGACTGAATCCTTGTGGCTGGCTGGCTTAGGCTTCAGCAGCTAAACATGTTTCCAAAGTGAGACAGGAGCAGAGGGCACTGTCACTCTCTGTGAGCAGAATGACGGGAGAGCAGATATGAGAGGAAGCTGTCCCAGCAGGGATAGGCACAAGAACCATTCAGAGCCTGAGAGGGCAGAAAAGAATACAACCCCTGTGCATCTGGAGGGAGGATCAAACACCACAGCAGGCTTTGTCTCGTCACATCTGAGCTAAACCTGCGCTCACCATCCAGGTTTCCCTCCACTGCTGGGGTGAGGCACTGAACCACGTTGTAACCAGGGTGGGAAGGGACCCCTGGGGGTCTCTAGTCTAGCCCCCCCACTCCAAGAAGGACGTCAATCATCTGCTCAGCACCTTGTCCCCTCCACTGTCTCACAGGATGGAGATAGCCCATTTCTCTGGGACTCCGTGGTACTGTTTAATCTCTGTCACAGGCCAACTAATTTTCCTAAGATCTAATCGGAACCGTCCTCCTTGCCACTTGCATTTTGGCCTCTCAGTCCATCACTCTGCATGTCTCAGTCTGTACCTTCCTGTGAGGTAGTGAAGGAAACAAGGAGGTCTCTGTTTAGCTCTCCCCTGAAGCCTGAAACCCAGCTTCTCTCACCTTCTCCTCCTATGTCAGGTGCCTGAACTCCCTCAATCTTTTTGGTGGCCTTCACTGGACTCATTCCAGTAAATCAGTGGCTTTCCTGTATTTGGGACTCTGCAACCAGACATAGTTCCAGGCCCAAAGCAGAGACCTACCTGTTCTGGACACCCTTCTCAGGTGGGCTGGGCTCTGTTCTATCAGATCAACATGCCAAGAGATTGGGCTCATGGTGAAATAATGTCTAATTCATATGCTGGGGCTTGAATTCAGGTTTCCTGAAGCTGTGGGACCTGAAAGTCCTCCTCCTCCTTCCAGAGAAAGGGATGGGAGCAGGAGAATGCTACATTGCATCCTCCCAGCCCAGCATCCTCCCTCCCACATTTGGGCAGCAGCCAGGACGCAGTGAAGGGTGTGAGATCAGGGCATGCACACTGAATATTCTTATGTCGCTCAAACGCTTCTTGAGCCAAAGGTAGTGTCTTCATCCTGCATAAACCTCAGGAGATTTTAGCAGCACAGGACACATTTGTCCTGTGGATTTTATTAACCCCTACTGAGCAGCCACAGCTGTGTGTGGGAGCAGCTTAATGCCAAGAGGAGGAAGCATCTCCCTTTTACTGACTTTACCTCCTGCTAATTTCACTCGATGCCCCTGGTCTTGTTCTCCTCGTCCCTTACAGCTGTGTATGCCTCAGTCATGGCACCTCAGTTCATTCTCCCAGGCTGAAGAGTCGCAGTCTGTGTAGTTATTCTTCATGTAGCAGCCAGGCTGGACCTTGGCTCATCCTTGCTGACCTTCTCTGTGGTTTAGGTTTGGGGGTTTTTTTGGGTCTACTGTACTCTGTTAGAGATTGATTATTCCTAAGTGGCATTAGCCAACATAGAGCCCACTGCTGCCTATCTAAAATGACTATTGTGGTTTCCCCAATGGATCATGTTATGTTTGTTTTATGCAATTTCATCTGCTATTTCACTGCCTGGAGAAGACAAGGTCTTCAGTCAGCCCTCTGGGACCACCTTTCCTTATATTTCTTAGGAGCACATCCAAATGTCTTAGGAGGTCCATCTCCTTTGCCTTTGCCAAGATTAAGTATCTTCTCTGGTATTCAGCCATTTACATGCCTAATAATGTGATCACCTGCCACCATAGTGCACCCTGCGATCACCTGTATGGGTGATGCACACACTGTCTGTGTCCGTGACCACCCTTGTGCCAGTGCCTATTCAAAGTCACCCTCCAAATCACAGTGCTAGCTGGGGAAAAGGAATCAGGAGTGTCCTGCTCCAGGTGATCCATCACATGCCCCCGATTGTTGTTGCATCCGCTGCCTCTCCTGCCCCAGGAGGATCAGCTCAAATCCTGTTCTCTTTCGCAGTCTGGAGCAATTTGCCATCATCTCCCTGCTCCTGCAGCAATCACTGCTGTGCAGCTGTGGGCAGGCAGTGATCCACAGTGAATCTGCTCTATCCATCATTCCAGGGCTGGAGGGATGTGATGCCACCAGTGATGTGCTTGCGGCGCATGATGCAGCAGCTTGACAGGCAAGAGGAAGGCAGAAAAAGAATAAATCCAATTTTACTACTCATTATGTTTTCATTTGGTATTAAATCACTGCTGGTAATAGTTTGTGACACGTATCCACCTTTTATAGCCCTGTTTTGTGCTGTCTTTTCCATGGAGACTATAAATACCATCACAGACCGTCTCCTGAGCATTCTGGGATAAAGAGCAGACTGCCAAGGCATAAGACCCCAGTGTGAGGACGTGACTGCTGAGTGGTGCCACCAGCGAGGGCGGGAGCCTCGTGCCTACAAGAAATCAGTGGAGGTTGTAGCTGATCCTGAGAGATCATAGAACCATGGAATATCCTGAGCTGGAAGGGACACGCAGGGCTCAAGTCCAGCTCCTGGCCCTGCATAGGACACCCCAACAATCCCACCCTGTGCCTGGAAGCATTGTCCAAATGCTCCTTGATCTCTGGAAGCCGTGGGGCTGTGATCACTGCCCTGGAGAGCCTGTTCAGTGCCTGACCATCCTCTGGGGGAAGAACCTTTTCCTGAGATCCAACCTAATGCTCCCCTGACACAGCTCCAGCCATTCCCTCAGGTCCTGTCACTGGTCACCAGAGAGAAGGGACATTTGAAGTGTGAGAAATTCCCCTAATTGAAGTGGAGGTTATTATTAAAAAAAAAAAAAAAATAAAAAAAAATGTAGATTTCTTCCCCAAAAGATGAAGTGGAGCTCGCAGCCATGGGGAGACGGAGAGGCCGGGCAGCCAGCCCAGAGAGGCCGGGCCGTGGCCGCTGCGTCACGTCCCCAACACCCCGACTGACAGCGGCATGTGCAGGGTCGCTATAAATGCCAGCGGTGACTGACAGGGCGGGCAGCCGCGGGCAGGGACAGCCTCAGTCCGGCCGCCGCCATGGGCTCGACCCGCCGGGCCCTCGCCGGGCTCTACGGGCAGGGATCGGGCCACGCCGATGGCGCCGAGGAGGCCGAGAGCGCGGCCTGGGCCTCGAGGCCGGACCGGCGGAGTTACCTGCTGGGCATCCGGCCCCAGAACAGGTGAGAGCGGCCGGCCCGGGGGAACGGGCTGCTCGGGGGTGTCCCCGCTCTGGCCGCTGCCGTGGGTGCGAGTGACACCGGGGACGGCGCCTGCGGGAGACGCGCCGAGGGCGGGCGGGGGCCGGAGGCGCGGGGGAGGCGGTCCGGGCTGCCCGGAGGGGCAGCAGGGCAGGCTGGACACCTCCCAGGCCGAAAGGCAACGCCTGGCCCCAAACCGAGCTGGAAGTGGTGTGGCCACCTGGGCCTCATCATGCCCTGTGGGGATTCTCCCCACGGACCATTCCCAAGGGGGAAAAGCCGGGTGATGGCTTGGGCTCTCCAGAGGGGCTGGTGGGCCCCGGGCCAGTCCCTCTTGCCCCCTGGAAGGAGCTGGGGGTGTCGCGGTTGTTGCTGGGGCAGGGGGTGTTGGTGTCGCGCATCACATGTAACTGGGTGGGTGTGTGGAGTCCTGGAATCATAGAATAGAATTGTGCAATATCTTGGGCTGGAAGGGACCTGCAAGGATCATCAAGTCCAGCTCCTGGCCCTGCACAGACACCCCAACAATCCCATCCTGTGCCTGGGAGCGTTGCCCAAACACTCCTTGAGCTCTGTCAGCTGTGGGAACATGACCACTGCCCTGGGGAGCCTGTTCAGTGCCCAATCACCCTCTGGGGGAAGAACCTTTTCCTAATATCCAACCTAAACCTCCCCAGACACAGCTCCAGCCGTTTCCTCAGGTCCTATCACTGGTCACCAGAAATTGATCAGTGCCGCCCCTCCACTTCTGTTTGTGAGGAAGCTGCAGACCCTGATGTGTTCTTGGTCGATGGCTTCCCTGTGAAATCTTGACAGACATGAGTGTTTGTCTCTCCAGTTAAATTCAGGGAACAGCACTGACCTTCCTGCCTTCATTGTAGTGAAGCTGCTCAACACCAGACACAGAGCGAGGGGCCACACTAGTGCCTTATCTTATTGCCAAAAAGGCATTTCTACAATGTAGATAGGGGCCAACAGCAATGAGAACAGCATTCCTGGGTCAGGAATGGCCTCAGGCAGAGGGTCTGGGGTAGAAATAAGGCTTTGTTCGCTGGGGAGAAGGTATGAGAAACATGCTGTCAGCTGAGCCTGACTGAGGGTAGCTCACACAAAAATACAGGGCGATGTGCCAGTGGAGCTAAAGGTGTTGGTGATTGTGTGAGGTGTTCTAAAAAAGCCTCAAAATTGCTTTGAATGCACTGGGAACACTGTTCAGTCTCCAAACGAGTGTGCCTCTTCCCTGCTGATGGTTTATAAATAATCCATTTCCAGCATGTCAGACATTGATGCCTCAAAGAGTGAGACATTCATAAAAATAAACACAGGACCAAAAGACATAAAAAAGGGCTGCTTGGAAGTCAGGTGTTAAAACTGGGTAACACCAAAGTGGAGCTGCCTAAATTGAGTTCCTTTGTTCTGGCATCGTGGGGTGCAAGCTAATTGTGGTCTGGCTGCACACAGTGGCATCTTCAGCATCAACAAATGCCAATACAGGGTCCACAACCTGCAGTCTCAGGAAAATCTCTGAGCCCAGTGACTCCAATCTGTGGATTACAGGCAGAGAGAGGATTTAATAAAGAAGATCTCAAGGTGTTTGGATTGCCTATAGCTTGACTTGAGCATATTCCCCCTGACTATGCTGGAATTGCAGCTTTAATCAGTTTAACCGTAAAGGAGAGTTCATCCATCCTGCAAGCAATACCTCCAGTGTTCCCCAAATCCCCTGAAGTTTTCCTTACATCTGCTAAGGAAGGCATGGAGTGATTTTGGTCTCCTGGGCAGTGCACCTGATGTCTTCTGACTGGATCGACTCTGTGGCTGATGTATGGTAAATCCAGCCCGTTTCTGCAATGCTCTGAGCCCTGAACTCCTTGAACTTGTCAGACTGGTGCTGCCAGGGCTGCACCCCAATTCCCATCCATGGGAGCCTAATCCTGGCAAAGGGACTCTGTGCTGCCACACTCAAATCTGCGGCACATTCAATTTCCACAAATTGGCCAATCCTTTTTCCAATCCGTTTATGTTTGTGGTTGTCAAAGCCTGTGGCAAGGCAATTTTGTTTTGCCTGTTAACTCCACTGTCTGCCCCTTCTGTTGTAAGAAGTGGTGAATAAATATTTGCCAAATAGCAAAACTGACCTTTCCCTGTCATGGCAACTTCCAGTTTCCCTGATGAGTTAGGGTAGAGTCATATAAAAGTCTTGTTCCCTGTGGAACCCTACAAGTGGTGAAGGCTTGAGCCAGGATGTGTGGAAACTGTGTTGTTGTTGTCTAAGATGTAGGGTAAGGGGTTGAATTAAGTGGGTCTTTTTGTCCTGTAATTAAATAATGGATCATAACAATTATGGAAAGCAAGTGAGTGGAATGGTGCAGCAAGGAGACTTTCAGAAAGCAATTATGAGTTTAATTAAATCCAGGAGCATCTGGAGAGCTTGCCTGGGAGAACTTGAAAAGCAAGATGAGCAACATGCTGAACGGCAGATAACATTGAGCAGTTCTCTTTGACACAGAACAGATTTGGGTTTGGAGCTAACAAAGGCATGGGACAAGTGATGCAGACACAGAATTGTGGTGGGAGGCTGCTGTGGTGGTTAGAAAACAAAAATGGATATTCTGGTCTAAAGAAAGTGCGGGTTTCTTTCAGGCTTCTCTGTTGCTGTCTTTATATGTATTTATAAAGTGTATTTAATAAAAATATTTGCCTGCTCTTTTCACCCATTCTTAAAGCAGTAGAAAGTGTAGTGACATGGTAGAGGTACATGCAGGCATCTTTAGGAAAAAAAATTGAAGTTGGGAATCCCTGCTTCTGGGGTGACTCGTGGACACATTCTTCAGTCAGCTCTGGGGTCTCAGCATAGGAAGGACTTCCAAAAAGGAAGGATTCTTTGGAGTGAGTCCAGAGGAGGCCACAGAATGATGAGAAGGATGGAGCCCCCCTGGTCTGAGGAAAGGCTGAGAAAATTGGGATTGTTCAGCCAGAGAAGAGAAGCTTCAGGGTCACCTAATTGTGGCCTCCCAGTACCTGAAGGGAGCCTGCAGGAAAGATAGCGAGAGACTGTTTACGAAGTCTTAGTGACAGGCCAAGGGGGTATGGCTTCCCACTGTCAGAGGGCAGGGTTAGATGGGATATTAGGATGAAATTCTTGGCTGTGAGGGTGGTGAGGCTCTGGCATAGGTTTCCCAGAGAAGCTGTGGCTGCCCCATCCCTGAAGTGTTCAAGGCCAGGTTGGATGGGGCTTGGAGCAACCTGGGATAGTGGAAGGTGTCCCTGCCCACAGCAGGGGGTGGAATAAGATGAGCTTTAAGTTCCCTTCCAACCCAAACAATTCTGGGATTATATGTAGAGGGCAGTTTGGATGATCTTACTTGGTCTCCCTAATCCTACAGGAGGAAAGGGATGTTGTGTAAATTGAAGGATATGAATTTGAAAACCAGAACATGCTTTTTTCTGTTTTTTAGCTTGTAGAATATGCCAGAGGTGGTGCTACAGGGGCCAAAAGAATAGAGGTGTTGAAAATGACTGTAGAGAGAATATAAATCCTTTTATTAGACAGAGTGTTCAGGGTGTTTATGCTGTGTGCCCTCGGGAACTGGTATTTAGGAAGGATTTTTCCTGTGAGCAGACAATTCAGTGTCAAGAGATCACTGGCTTTCCTTTGCTGGTCTTTTAACATACCTGATATTGGACAATATGAGGAGCAGATTGGTGATTTGCCTTCTGCCCTGGCTGCTGACAGGACTTTTTTATTTTGGGGTAGCTGTTTTGTTTGCATTGGGTTTTTTTTTTAAACCCTCTTATATCTCAAAGCACTTGACTATAATTATTTCACAAAATGGGAGGAGGAGCTGTCAGTCCTTTCCATGGTCTGCCTTAGCTGCATTCATAGGCCACAGCTCCAAGACATCTCTTTAGATGTCCTTTTTGTAAGAACTAGTGAGTCTGGAGAGTGTCTTGTGCAGAGAGATGCAATTTTATGTAAAATCTTCACCTGAGTCCCAGGTGAACTCCTGCTGGCAGCGATGTGCACCTCTGGCCTCGTGCAGGTGTCTGCTCCTTGGTCTCGTTAGAGCATTGCCTCCTTGCTTATATATCTTTCTACTGTCATAGCTGCATCATACACAGATATTTATAGAGTATAGTGACATTGCCTCTGATCTTTTCTTGGATGACTGTCTCTGTTTGGGGTGGCAGTTGAGCTCAGGAGACAGCCTTGCCACCTGGCTCTTCTGGCTGGAAACCATTCCCAATCTTGTCCCTCTTGCTTTGCACATAATATCGAATGAAGGAGAAAGATCTGTTGCTATAATAAAGTGTGCTGGAAACTCAGGAGCGCTTGTTTCCTGAAAAGCATGTTTAGTTCAGAGGAGTTCCCTCTTCAGCAGCTGGACACCTGTATCATCCTGTGTGACCTTGCTTTGGCAAGGAATGGTGTAACTCACGGGTAAGGTGCCAGCTGAGGCACCTGAGAGCATTCAGTCAGTTTGATCTGTGGGATGGAAGTGTCCCAAACTCTAAAAGGAGGGACAGCCAGTACCCACTGGAAAGGCAAAAGTAAAGGCGTCAACGATTCAGCTTCAAACCCTGTGATCTGTAGGACAGAGGCATCTGTTTCCCATTGGTGTGATTACTTGCATAGTGGTGTCTGGTTTGAGTGGGGCTCCTTGGCAGTGAATAACGACACTGAATAACAATCCCAAACAGTCCCAAAGGGGGATTTTTCAGCCCCCTTTCCAAAGTCTCCTGTCCATATATCCCCTAGAAAGCCAAGCAGAGATGAGTGTGTAGGTGATAACCAAGGCTGGAGGAACTCGGGCTGGACAAGCAGTGCCCTTCAGGGTCACTGTTAAAATACAGAGTTAAAATACACAGATCTGAGCCATCTTCAGAGCATTATTACAGAGGCTGATACAGGAATGTGTAACTTAATTTATTGTTCTCCACCTTCTCTGTTAATGAAATCTAACTCTCAATTGTTACACACAAGTCTATGTTCATCTCAGCACAAAGTAAATTACCTGCATAAAAAAATGCCATATTTCTGCAGTTCTGAC